TTGACGACAGAGAGGACATACATTGTAAGGATGAGGTGGATGAACACATGGAAGACCTAGCTGAGCATTCTCAGCGCAACAATTGCCACGACGGGTGGCATTGAGCATGCCCACCATACGCCCCCGACAAATGGCATGTCGATTGCAGGCCAAAATGAAAGAAGAACGGTCACCACAAAAGAGCATGCATTCAGTATAGCGCCCATGGCCACAAAATGGACATAGTGTCCGGATGCGGAGGGTGCCTGCAGTCAGGAACAGTGGGACAGTCCTCTGCACACATGGATGCAGAAACCATGTCATTGTAGTGATTGTGACAGAGACAATGGCGGCTACAGCCGAGTGTAACAGTGTTTGCGGTTGTGCAAAGGAGAAGGTCGCAGAGTGTTGGTACATTATCTTGCTGCAGCACGGGGCCAGAGGAATGATCTTCGACATAAAAGAGATTGCGGACGGTTTGTTGTGGCAAGAAAACAGCATCATTTTGTAAGAAATCGGTGACATCAATCATGGCATGGACCATTGTGCCGTTGTCCCACAGCTCCCAGTGGTCAGAGGCATGTACAATGGCCATGTAATGGCCAGGGCCGTGCACAATGCAGGCAGAGATGTAGGATGGAGGATTAAACCACTCACCTGCTTGAGCATTGCGCAGTTCAAGTTGACGGTCCCTCATTGCTACTTGTAGGACAGCAATGGTAAAGCCTCCTTCGCCGGTATAATTACAATCCTCTGGCTGTCGTTGGGGAAGATCAGCATCAAGCTGAAGGGCGATTGCAAGGAAGTCTGATGGTGTATAAAAAGGGCGGTGGAGAATGTGAAGACAAATATTAGTTGCTGTCAGACCACAGAGATTGTTGAGGTTCTCAGGCTGGTTTGTTGGATGCTGGCCAACAATTTGCAGATCACCCAGATGGCGTTGCAAGCCCAAACTGTGTTGGGTTGTTTGCTGGTCAGTCATTTGCAGATCACCCATGTGGTCTGCACGCGGCGGAGCACAAAATTGTGGTTCATCCGAACAATGCTGGTCAGCCATTTGCAGATCTCCCATGTGGTGTACGCCTTGCGGGGTCAACTGCAATCCGGGCAGATCATGTTCCAATCCCTCAACATTTAGGGCTGCATCCTGAGAAGGGACTGTACCTGGAGTCGGGAGTGTACTATGGGCAGCGGCTGCATCCTGAACTGGTGGCTGCCTGCAGGAAGCTGGACTGTCTGCAGGAGGCATAGGAGCGGATATTGCCGTTTGAAACAAAGGAACCGCAACAACCTGTGGAGGCGGCACAGAGAGAATCCGGGAAGACAATGAAACAAGTTGCTGATCCCCGGACAAGTGACGATGCCGCGGATGTCGTCGGTGATACACAACAAGAGGAGTAGTGGTGTTGCAAACAGAAGCTGAACTTGTACCTAGCAACGAAGGTGGAACAATGGGAACAATGGAAACTTGAGAGTCTGTTCGCAAGCGAGAACGTGGAGGAGACGAGGTTGGTGAGGAGGAATGCAGTCGTCTAAGGCCAAGCACAGACAAAGATGAGAGGGGGGTGCATTGGGCAAGATTTCGAAGCAAAGGACGTGAGCGTCGAAGAGATTGTGATGTTCTTTGCATTGGAGCTGCAGGACAGGAAGTTGTAGCAGTAAAAACTAAAGTAGGGGGAAGTACAGTTAGGGAAACTATTGTACTGAAAACTGCAGCAGTGGAAACCGCAGCAGTAGAAACTACAGCAGCGGAAACTGGAGTAGTGGAAACTGAACCAGTGGAATCTGGAGCAATGGAAACTGCAGCAGTGGACACTGCAGCAGCGGAAATCGCAACAGTGGACACTGCAACAGTGGAAACTGAAGCAGTGGAAACTGCAGCAGTGGAAATCGCAACAGTGGACACTGCAGCAGTGGACACTGCAGGAGTGGAGACTGCAGCATTGGAAACTGCAAGAGTGGGGACTGCAGCAGTGGAAACTGCAGTAGCAGCAGATGAGCAAGCAGGGGCAGGACGAGAGCATCGTGGGGGCGAAGAAGAAATTGGATGATACAAGGATCATCGCAGCATGCGTCGGAACCACTGAGAGAGACGCGTCACATGCGTAGGATAGCGACGTTGGCGGGAGCGCATGTAGCAGGTTCAGCCCTTAGCAAGGGTTGGTGGGGAATGCCCACGCGAAAGCATACGACGAGTAAGTGTTGTTGCCGCAGTTCGAAAGTCCTGCCAATTGTTACAAATTTGTTCAAATCTGGTCAATTGCCCAATGAACACACCAGCCGGTTGATGGGAAGGGATGTTGGAGGTCGCACTTGGATAATGAATGACAGGGAAGTCCCAAGCAGCCGCTTTATCAAAGACGCTCATGCGAAGTGAGCCATAGGAACGGACCCGTAGATGCACATATATATCGTCAAACAGAGCTGCCCAGTAAACTGTAGGCAGAGACTCAAAGAGTGATATGCGAGGCACAAGGCCTCAATAAGCCCCACTGGGCCCTGTTATCAGCCAGGTTGGCCGCCCTAAGTGAAGGCAGGCCCGACCGAGGCCTATTTTGGACTACTACGCAACTGGGGAAATTCACGCAGTTACACAACGCCAGTTGGTTGGAAGCGCCCAGGCTCAGGCTGCCCTTCATTGTACGTAACTGAGGCAGGCCTTGGGCCGGATACACAACATGGATTGAACAAAGGCTGAGGGCAGTTGGGCACTGGTAATCACCACAGGCCTGGGCCTGTTTCCTTTGGACTGAGGCTCAGCCTCGGGCCTACCTGAAGCTTCTGGGCCGAGGCCCAGTACCGCATCACCGCACGCAGCAGCAGGCCACTTCGATATAGGGAAGGGCCTGCCCACGCAATATTCATTCGGGCACTGGCTGCATGTTGCGCGAATGCTGGCCATCGCTCACTCGCTCACGGGCGAGTATTATTGTTTCTTTCAGTGTTTTACAAAAACAATTTACACTGAATCAAAGGATAAAAATAAAAAACAAAGACAACATTGAAATCATTCAATTTCTCAGTCTTCTTAACGCCTCCTCCACTATGCCTCTAACGTACAAGGCTCGCGACGTTGATGAAGTTGAGCGCGAGCTGCCTCCATCCCCGTATGCCATAACAGCCCACTTGCACGCTATGGGAAAGAGGCATAGTGAAGGAAGAGGTGTTAAACACAAGGAAGAGAGGAGCAAAAAAGGAAAACCGATAGGCAGAGGGGAAAAAAAAAAAAAAAGTGACCCAAACATTTTCTTTCTTTCACTGCATTCTTCTTTCTTTCACAGTTTTGCAGTTTTGGTGAAGAGTCTACCACGTTCGCTTTTCAGCGCACCTGCACTTCCTTCTTCATTTTTCATCTTCATTTTCACCCTTCAGACTTTTCTTTTGAGGGTGTTAGGGTGTAGGGTACAAACAAAGTAAGATGACACAAACTTATGTTCTTCTTTTAGTGCACAGTTTTGCAGTTTTAGTGAAGGGTTCCCCACCTTTGCACATTCTTGTACACTCTTTTCAGCGCACCTGCACATTTTTGTCAGGGTGCAAGGTACGTCTATGTAAGACCCTCACGACAGATAGGACAACTGTCATAAGGATGCGGGCGATAGTAGCAGCCCTCCCGCTGATCTAAAGGACGAAAACCATTCAGGTAAGCAACTTCATCACAGCAGGAGCCAGGCGGCTAGCATTAACCATACCTCTGAAGCATGCACAACAGAGGGCATGCCAGTTGCAGGCCATGACGATTGTGGGGCGTTCACCATCACAGTTAAGTGCACATTCACTATAGCGCCCGCAGGCACAGATGGGACATACTGCATCTGGATGTAGTGGATGTTCACAATCCGGATACAGGTGGCATCCCTGCCGACAGCGGGCCCGAAAAATTCTACGGTTGTAGTGATGTCGACAAAGTCGATGCTTTCCACAACCAAGTCTAACTGTGTCAGTGATCTCACAAAGAAGGAGGTCACAAGGTGTTAGTGCAGCATGTGGGGGAATGAGGACTAAAACAGGCACGGTGACAGACATGGAGGTAGGCACGGAGACAGACACAGAAACGGGCATGGAGGCAAGTGTGAAGGCAAGCACAGAGACATGTGCAAAGGCAGGGACGAGAGTACACGTGGTACCCATAGAGTCAGTAATCTAGAAGGAGACAGACACAGAAACAGGTACGGAGGCCGACACAGAGATAGGCGTAGAGGCGAGCATGGAAGTACACGAGGTACCCATAGGGTCAATGACCTGGAACAGTTGCACGTTAGGGTAATTACGCACGAGATCACAGATGGTAGTAATAGTTTGCACCATAGCACCGCCATTCCATAATTCCCAAGAACCAGAGGCACAGACAAGAGCGGTGTAGTGGCCAGGAGCATGTAGAATATAGGCACAAACGTGCGAACAGTGGTCCGGGTCGCCACCCGGAAGGGCACGCTACATATCAAGCCAACGCCTTATCAAAGCAGTCTCCAAAACAAAGACATTGAATCCCCCATGTCGAGTGTAATTACTATCCTGTGGGGGATGCAGAGTCGGGTTATCGCCATATAACTCACGTTCCTGAGCATCAAGATCGAAAGCAATGGCCAACAAATTGCAGCGAGTATATGGTTCCCGACGATAGGCTTGCAGGCACATGTTAGTAGCACCGAGGCCACGCAGATTCGGTGGAGGCCAGTTAGGCGGATTTTCTACAGAATCTCCTATAGTCCCCTTGCCAAGTTCATTCTCGGATAGCCCCTTGCCATCATCCCTCCTGTTTTGTGTTTGTCGCGTTGCAAAAAGGTCTGCAGTCGAAGAGCGTTGCAGGCGTGGTAAGGATGCTTGGGCCGGCAAAAGACGAGGACGGGATGTTGGGGAGGGTCGTGGTGGGAAGAATGAACGAGTTCTTCTTCGTCCAAGAACARAGATGGAGGAAAGGGGAGTAAGCTGAGGTTAGGAAGTAGGTCGAAGTCGGCGTCTAGAACGGCGAAGTAGGCTTTCTGCAGGGGCAGAACATGATGACGGAGTCTGTGTGGACGCAGTGGTTTGTGGATTAGGAAGAGGTGTAACGGATGGAGACAAAACCAGGGGAGGTAGGAGTGGTGAAGACAGGGGTGGTAGAGTTGTCGGAAGGTGGGTAACAGACGACGATAAAACCAGGGGAAATATAGGCGGTGAAGACGGGGAGGATGAAGTCAGGGGTGGTGAAGTGGCTGAAGCAGAGACAGGGGGGGCAGTCGTAGGTGAGACTCGAAGAGGGGATTTTGCAAGTGGTAATGCAGGCATGGTCACGGATGCCATGGAGGAAAGCACCGAGACCAAGGGCGACAAAGCAGTTGCGGTGGTCACGGATGTCATGGAGGAACACACCGAGACCAAGGGCGACACAACAGCTGCGGTGGCACCGGATGCCATGGAGGAACACACCGAGACCATGGGCGACACGGCAGCTGCGGGTCGAGTTGCTCCCGCAGAATCAATCATAGAAGCAACCAAGGCCGATGAGGAAGAGGCTGCGAACCGAAAAGGGGCAGCCAGGGTCACAAACGATATGGAAGGGGTTACTAAGACTGATGAGGACGCAGGTGCAGTAGACGCAGGTAAGGAAGAAGAGGTTGTGATAGGTGTGACAGGCGCCGATAATGAAGAAGGGGTTGTGAGAGGCGTAGTCCGAGGACAGTGTGTGGATACCCGAGAAAGCGGGTGATGAATAGATCATCGAAGCATGCTGCGGAACCAGCTGGAGAGGCAGGTCACGTGCGCAGGGTACCTGTGTTGACGTTTACGAATATAGGAAGTCTATCCTTTCGCAAGCATTGTTGGAGAGTGCCCGCGAAAAAGCATGTGGCTTGTGAGCATGCTGCTGCAGTTTTGAAATCATACCAGTTGTTGCAGACATACTCAAACCTAGTAAGCTTGCCTGTAAACACTCCCGCTGGCTGGTGTGCAGGGACGTTAGACATAGCACTAGTATAACTAATAACAGGGAAATTTCATTCAGCTGCTTTGTCAACGACACTCATACGTACGGAACCGTCACGGCGGACTTGGAGGCGTGCACCTAAGAATCTGCAAGAGCCATCAGTCGCTTTGGTCTCCTTCCATTTGAGGCCATAATGTTCTGACGGTGGTGGCAAGATGTCCCCATGAGAGAACATCATCGATCAAGCGGTATGTGAATGCATACCGTTGAGCTGCTCGAAGATCACACTGCTGGAGGTCGTCAACAAATCGAGCCTCATCCCAATACAACGTCAAATTAGCTATCTCCAGACCAGAATTATTCCCCATCGGGATGCCAATCAGCTGATGTCGCAAGGTGTCGTTCGCTGCATAAAGATACATGTTTGTCACAATGAAATGGAGATGTTCAAGAATTTGGGAAACGGTCAAGGTGTTTGGTCCAGTATCAACCGTCCACTCCCCTTGACGGGGCCCTTTAACAATCATGTTAAGGGTAGGAGGATGCGCCCCTGTGAGTGTTGTTGTAAGGCATATGTATAGGCTTCCTCAACCGCTTTTGATACATTATGACAAATACGGTCAAGAGGAAGATTGGTATACATAGTTGTGAAATCAACAGTGCGAGGAGCATGGCCACGACGAGAAGAGGAATTACGTTTGAGATCAAGCATCACGTCCTCAGCGCTTTGCACGATCCAGCACCGTCTCACACCGCTTTGCTGATACAACACATTATCCTTCTCACAGAGAGTTTCAATGACTCCTTGTGGTGCAACACTGAGGCGGGCAGAAGCAACGGTAGTACTGGCCAAGGGATTGTGGGGAGGTCGATGGTGGACTGCATGAACAGATGGCGCAACTGATCGAGATCGCTGCGGTAGGGAGAGATTATTCTGCTCCGTGACGCCGGCAATCCTGCGAAGCCCAAGAGGTGATTTGTGCGCTTTAAGTGCATAGTACAGATATGGCAGCGTGTCTTTGTGTGTATATCCCCACCAATGATTCCAGAGCGCGTGATGTTCCAGGATATCTGCGACAGACTCAAGAGGCACATCATAGGTAGGGCTGTCCAAATGAGCAGATAGATGAGATAGGTACCGATTTTTACAACAAATTGCCAAGTTACGTGAGGTCTTGTCGACAGGAACAATAGAAGTGTTGTTGAAGGTATCTCAAAGCCTTGTGCACCGAGTGAAGGGTTCAAAGCTAGTAGTCTGATCGAGTCCCACGGATGCATGTGTGCGGCCGCGTTCTATAATTACTATAAGCAAAATCAGGAGGAGGGTATGTATCTAGTTTATGTCTCTGCTGCAGGCGAGCCGGTGAAAATGCCGCCTGAGATAGAGGGAGTAGTTGCTAAATACCCTGATCTATTTGAAGAGCCGACAGGGGTTGTTGAGAGGGAGGTCGTCCACACGATAGAGATTATCCTAGGGTCTAGCATCCCGAAGGGTAGGATCTATCGGATGCCTCCAGGCGAGCTTGACGAGCTTCGCCGACAACTCAAGGAACTCGTAGAAAAGGGTTGGATCCGGCCGAGTGTTTCTCCTTATGGTTCACCAGTCCTATTCGTACCAAAGAAGAAGGAAGGAACACTTAGGATGTGCATTGACTATAGGGGCCTCAATGCCATCACTGTCAAGAACCGAAAGCCCCTACCGCGCATCGATGACTTGCTAGATAGAGTGCAAGGGTGTCGGTGCTTCAGTAAGGTAGATCTGAAGTCCGGGTACCATCAGATTGCAATCCGGCCTGAGGATCAACACAAAACCGCTTTTCAGACCAGGTACAGTCTGTACGAGTTTGGGGTGATGCCTTTCGGCCTTTGCAATGCTCCTGGCACCTTTCAACACGCTATGAATCGGATATTTCATGACTACTTGGGTAAGTTTGTCATCGTGTACCTCGATGACATACTTATTTTTAGTAAGACTGTCGAGGAGCACGTTGCGCACTTGGATATAGTCTTGAGTCTTCTGTGACAGCACAAGTTCAAGATCAATGGTGAGAAGTGCGAGTTTGGCCGCACCCGTGTCTAGTGCTTGGGTCATGAGATTTCCGCGGAGGAATTAAAGCCCGATCACGCGAAGGTGGCCAGCATTCGTGACTGGCCACGTCCTCAGTCTGTGACTGAGACGAGGCCTTTCTTAGGGATGCCTGACTACTATCGCAATTTCGTGAAGAACTATACCATAGTTGCCGCCCCTTTGACTGACCTGACTCGCCTGGACACCCCATGGGAGTGGACAGACAGATGCGAGGCTGCTTTCAGACATCTGAAGCATGCGTTGACGCATCATGAGGTCTTGAAACTTCCTGATCCTGACAAGCCATTTGTAGTAACTACAGATGCTAGCCAATATGGCATAGGCGCCGTACTTGCGCAGCAGGAGAGGAAGAAGTTGAGGCCAGTAGAGTACATGTCCAAAAAGATGCCCTCTCAGAAGTTGGCTAAGTCCGCCTATGAGAAGGAACTCTATGTGATCTACAAGGCGCTTACCCATTGGAGACACTATCTCCTTGGGAGGTTCTTCTACGTCAGGACTGATCACCAAACCCTGAAGTGGATGAGAACCCAGCTTGTGCTCTCTGACGCTTTAAAGCGTTGGATTGAAGTCATAGAGCAGTATGACTTTGAGCCCCAGTACATCAAGGGCGAGTACAATAAGGTTGTTGATGCACTGTCGCGTAGACCAGATTTCTCTAGTGCGCTGATCACTGAGTTTGGGCTTGCGAACGATGTTACTCAGTCTATGGCGGAAGCCTATCGCGAGGACCGATTTATGTCTGAGATCATGCGTAGACTCGAGATGAAGGACAAAGCAACTTCTGCCGAGTTCGAGTTGGTCAACGGATTGTTGTTCCTTGAGAAGGCAGGGAATAAACGTTTGTGTGTGCCAGATAGGGAGTCTTTGCGTAGTTTATTTTTAGGTGAGTGTCATTATGCCACCGGACATTTTAGCTTTAAGAAGACTGCAGCCAATGTGTTGCAGTGGTTCTGGTGGCCCACGATGATGAGAGATGCCAAGCTGTACGTGGAGACTTGTCAGGTCTGTCAGAGAGACAAACCCCGTACACAGGCCCCTCTTGGGCTCCTCAAGCCCCTTCCGATTCCGGAAAGGCCTGGCGAGAGCCTGTCCATAGACTTCATGGACACCCTGGTCACCAGCAAGAGTGGAATGCGACACATCTTTGTCATTGTGGATAAATTTAGTATGTAGGCTAGGTTAATTGCTACGCCGGAGACAGCGAAAACCGAGTACTTGATCAGATTGTTCAAGGAGAAGTGGGTCAGAGATTTTGGTCTGCCTAAGTCAATCGTGAGTGACAGGGATGTCAGATTCACCAGTGAGTTGTGGAAGGCTGCCGCTGCCGAACAGGGATTGGAGTTGCAGATGACTTTCGGGAATCACCCAAGGCCAATGGCCAAGCCGAGCAACTGTACCACGCTGTACAACACCTGCTGCGGCATTACATCAAGCCCAATCAGGTGGACTGGGATGAGAAGCTTGCTCTCATCGCCAGCTTCTACAATAACGTTGTACACAGCGCCACCGGGGTGAGCCCAAACAGCTTATTACTGACCTTCAAGCCTAGACTGCCCTTAGATTTTCTCCTTCCTGAGAACCAGCCAACTGCTGCACCGGATACCTTAGAATTCGCTTATCGCTACGAACAGAAAATGCAGCAGGCAGTAGAACAGATGCAAAAGGCACAGGCGGCAATGATAGAATCTGAAAACAGGCACCGCCGCCCATCTACATTCCAGGTTGGGGACAGAGTCTGGGTTAAGTCCTCAGAACTGGGACAGAAGCACGGGATCTCCCGCAAGCTCATGCCTCAGTACTTCAAACCATGGGAGGTCTTAGACATCGTCGGGACTGATCCAGATGGACCGTCTTATGTAATCCGGATCCTTGGTCATCTCCGCACTTATCCTGTCTTTCACGCTTCTAAGCTTGCACCTTTCACGGAAACTGATCAGTTTCCCTCTCGTCGCTCAATGCTGGCCCCAACCATGGATGGAGAGGTCGACATCGATGACCATAAGGAAATGCCAGTTCCAAGACCGACAGGCAGGGGACGTCCTCCGAAACCGAAGCTGCAATACCGGGTTCGGTTCAGACATCACACGGATCCAAAGGAGGATCGATGGTTCACCAGGGAGGAACTGATGCAGACCGCTCCTCAGGTTGTTGCCCAATATGAAAAGTCTCTGCAGTAGGGAAAGCGCCAGATTATCGAAGACTGAACTTCTCAGAGGACTATCAAATTTATGGAGGAGGGAATGCGAGGCCAGGGCCCCGATGAGCCCCTTTTTGCCCTGTTATGCAGCACGTCGGCCGCCCTAAGTGAAAGCAGGCTCGACGAGGGCCTGAGGGCCCCTATCTCGGTCACCACGCAACTGTGGAAAATTCAGGCAGTTGCGCAGCGCCAGTTGGTTGAAAAGAACCCAGGCCCAGGCCGCTTGTTTGCATGTATGGAAGGCAGGCCCTGGGCTGGATACGGGATATGGGCCAAACACCGGCCAAGGACAGTTGGGCACAAGTAACCACCACAGGCCCTGGGCCTGATTCGTTTGGACTGGGCCTCAGCCTACCGGGGCCTACCGGAAGCTTCTTGGGAAAGGCCCAGCGCAGCCTGGGACAGAAAGCAGGCAGGCCACTTCCATATAGCAAAGTGCCTGCCTCCGCATTTGGCACTCGGTTGCTGGCTGCATGCTGCGCAAGCGCTGCTGCGCTGAAGCTGGGTAGCGCTCACGCGCTCACGGGCGAGGTGGAAGGAGCAGGCAGCCATAGCCGAGCTGCGCTGCTGTGAGCTGGCTGTGGCGCAGGGTGGTCCTTGGGTGCAAGTGGCATCTGTGAGTTGGGGAACGGGGTTGTGAGTGATACGAGAGACAGATCTGGTGCTAGAAGCGGCGGCATTGTCCGAGATCTGCTCGTACTTCGGTGAAGCTGTTGACGTCATCCGGCGGCATTGTACAGTAGGCTAGATAGGATCTGCCATCTGTAGTCTGGGCGCCGAGCGCCAGATAGGATATCAACATTGGTTCTTCGTTGATGATGATGATGAGACTATTCCAGCATTGTCAATTATGAGCACTTGGTGTATTCTTATTTGGTGAAACTTGTGATGCAATTCTGCTGTTGGTTTGAGGTCACGACTATCTGCTCTTATGTGTATGATGCTGTTTGATTTCTGAAGTTCGCTATTGCTCATCTTCCTTGCAATCCTCTCTGTATCATTCCAGTTTTACCAGATGTCCCGAAGGACAGTAGTTCTTTCCCTCTATTTCCAGTCAATTCTCTATTTGCTGTTCTTCGGTCTCAGAGGCCTTTGTCCAGTAGTTCTTTCCCTCCTTTTTCCTGTCAATTCTCTATTTGCTGTCCTTTGGTCTCAGTGTCCTTGCACAGAAGGATTTGAACTCTTGATGTATGAACCAGTAGTTATACATGTGTGCTCCTCCAGCATATCTTATCTCCCCTCAGGTTGTAATTCTACTCTTGAGTTTTTTTTAACTTTTTTTAACTTTTTTGTTCTTCTTTTAGTTTGCTATGCTGTCTTGAGGGGAATGAGAGATGTTATGTATGGCAGTGAATAATGGCACCAAAAAAAAAGAAAGAAAAAGAGATTTGTGTGCCATCATACTTGTTGTGCATGCCTGAGAGTTCCGTCACTCTTGGATCACCTGCTGTAGTCCTTGGGGCTTACTTCACACACCCGCAATCCCCAAAGAGCCCAAACAGGAATCAACTGACATTGGATTTGAGTCGAATGATTGGATTTGGGACAAATGACATTTGATTTGGGTCAAACAACATTTGATTTGGGTCAAACAACATTTGATTTAGGTGAAATGACATTTGATTTGGGGCAAATGACATTGGATTTGACTTTGAAAAAAGCCAAAAAAAAAGGACCATTTCTCGATTGATGGATGTCATCCTTGTGCAGACCCATGCTTTTTTTTTTTTTAACCCGCCCCCTCCAGTGTTAGTGGTGCTGATAAGAGCAGACACCACTAGCACCTGGGGAGAGGCTACATCTATTGGTGGGGCGCATCACCTGCTGGAAAACGGGTCCAGCGTCCCATATACAGACTGAATTTGGAGTATATCAGGAAAAATTGTTGGAGACTCCTGCCAGCATTGATTACCCTGGAATCCAGAGGATTGACCGAGCAGGATATTGGAAAGAGGGGGGAACCTCTTCACCCTGGACCCGGCGCCGGATACCTGCTGCTACACACTAGTTCCTCCCTCCCCCCACCAGCCCCTTTTACCACCCAGTCCCAACTTCCAATCCCTTGTGATGCCTAAGGATGTAATTAGCAGACTCCCCTTTTTTTGAGACACTCCCTTATTGAAAACCAGGAACAGCAGACCCCGAAACCTAGAACCCTCGCTTCCTTTATCCCGTGCCTGCTGCTACACACTAGTTCCTCCCTCCCCCCACCAGCCCCTTTTACCACCCAGTCCCAACTGCCAATCCGTTGTGATGCCTAAGGATGTAATTCGCAGACTCCCCTTTCTTGGAGACACTCCCTTATTGAAAACCAGGAACAGCAGACCCCGAACCCTAGAACCCTCACTTCCTTTATCCCATGCCTGTTGTATGTTTCACTACTCCCCCCTTCCTCTCTTGCTCCCGCACCACCGCACTTCCAGCAGACTGTTGGAAGGAGGGGGGAAGGGGTATGGGAAGTCATCAGTCGATCTAATTGGGGTTGTGGCGTCCACCTTGGTCCACTCGTCGAAAATTAGCCGATAGTCTTCGCTCGGCCCTTTCTCCTCTTGATCCCTCTCTTGATCCCTGTTCTTTTTTTTCCTTCCCACCTTCCCAATCTTTCCCTCTTTTTTGGCCCCAAGCCATCTTGCCCTGAAGTCCTGTAATTTTTGGTCTATTTCCTGCTGTCTATGTGTTTAGCGGATTTGAGCTTTGATATCTTCCCAGTGTGTTGTTATCTCTGTTTGGATTTGCTGTTGTATACTTTCTGTGAATTCTGGCCCTTCCAGTCTCACCCCTTCCATCTCATATGTGCAATGGCGTCTCCAAAGCGTCCATAACACCGCCCTACGTCCCAATTTAAAGATGTTATGAGTGAAGTCATCCACTTGTTCTGCAGGCCATGTTTCTAGTAGCAGTGCTCTCCAATCCCATGGCCAGGGCGCCGTTACTTCAAGCTCGCCCCAGACCCTGTCCCACCAGCGCCAGAGCCAGATTGCTCCCGGACATTGCAGGAAAATATATTCTATCGTTTCTGGTCTTTTCCTGGATGGGAATGAATTGGAGCATAGTTTGCACCTGGGTAGAGCCCGCCCACATTGTTCCAAGGATGTCCTGTCTATTAGCCAATCATTGGTTAGTAGGAAGCGGTGTTCCACCTGCCATTGGAGGGAGGCCAGTTTTGCAGGTTTCGTCTTGACTAGCTGAAACCATTTGACCCTCCGGAGTTCCTTGCTAATGTTTAGATGCTTCATCCATCTAGCCTCTACCTGGTCTCGTAGATTAGTCATGGGACGGAGCAATCTGTATGTTGACTTGACTGTCATGCTGTGTAGTGTTTTGTTGCGTGTCTTGCCCTTTCTGAAGGAAGATGTCCATGACCATTCCACCGGGTCAAGCGGTAATCGAGCGATCAGGGTGTTTGGGAGAAAGGGAACCCATTTATCCCCGTTCTCAAGCACTCTGATTCGTGACAGTTCCTCGTTTTGGTGAAATCGTGTTTCGTCTGGTGCAGGTCTATGTAGGGTATTGCTGTTGCCTATTTTGAATATACAACCACCGGCCCATTTGGGCTGGCTGCAACATACTACATTGCCTACCTCCCCCAGACTGCCCTGGATTTGCGCCCAGTCAGATTCCTGCAAAGTGGGTCCCTTCCAAAGTATTTTCCACCAGCTCAAGGGGATCCGTTCTATTATGTCCTCAGGTGCAGCCTCCGATCTATGGCTATATCTTAGTTTTTGCTTAAGGAGGTCCCGGTTGATCCAGTTTGTCTTGGTTGTATCCCAGATGTCTCTTATTCTAAGTACACACCCCTGTTCACCCACACCCGCCAGGGGGAGTCTGCACAGTGGACGACCTGACCCCTGGTGTCAACAATCCTCCTGTTCTCAAAAAGGAGCTGTCGTAAGACTTCGTCCCATCTCTCTAGATGGATTTTGTCAGGCATGCGGAGGTTTCTCCATGTCCTCAGAAGGGATGGCCAGAAGTGATCGTTCCGCAGATCCTCCCTCGCCTGTTCCCTTCGGGAGTTCGGGTTCTGTTGACGAGGGTGTCCCCGTGGTATTGGCCAACCCCTGTTTTCTAGCCATGTTAGTGGGTTAAAATCTGATGTTTCAGGGGTCAGTCTAGACCCATGCTAATCTTCAGTGTCGTTCCAATTTTAACGGTCTTCCCAGAGATTGGTGTAATTGACCCCTAGGAGCCTGCGTTCGCGCCAACTCGCAGGGTTGAAATGACAGTTGATTTGGATCACTAAAAAAATCACAAACAATGCCAATGATAACAAAATCCAAAACTTCAAACATTACAAGAACAAGTGGATAGGGTCAGTCTAAGTACTCTGTCCTGTACGAATGGGGTATGAAAAGGGA